TCCCTACAGTCCTGCTAGAAATCTCAGAGGATTAGAATCAGTTTTCTAGAATCCGAGCCCTGGGGCTCAAAGCCCCCAAATGTCTCTCTGCAAATTCAATAAAGCTTTCACCAAACAAAACAGAACCAAAGTGAAACTGCACATAGAGCGAGAAGTCATCAGGGAACAGGAATTAAGGTAACTCACAGCAGTTACTGAATATTTATTTGAACATTTTTGAACATTGAGATTAGCCAAATTTAAAGAATATAGTTCTGTATTTTGGCATTTCTGTCAAGAAGACATAATTCTACTGACTATCTGAAAGAGTCACTACATCCTGAACTATTTCCACTCTATCAACAGCCTCACTAATAATACTCAGCATAAAAGGCATTTAATCTTCCTATCAACTCAGGGAGCGTGTTCTGGATAGAAAAAAAGATACACCTACACAACAGATCTATAAGCAAATACTGAGCCTAACCTTATCTACCTACTTACTCGGGCAAAATTTAAGTTGTGATCTGAACCACATTAGAAATCACTATTAACCGTAAGCGTGAATGTGAAGAAGCCCATGCTTTAGAAGAAGGCTCTGTAGGAAATGGGAAAAAAAAACAAAACAAAAACAAAACCAAAACAAAACCAACACTCTTGTGTTATCAGTGTGACTTAGGATGCAAAAATAAATACAGATCGGTCACTCCAATGGCCAGTGAATACTTCAGAAGCACTTGTATAAGAAAACACTGAAACACTAGTAAATAAATTAGTGTTCCCTATTGTCTAAAATAAGGAAAACACTCCAATAAACAAGAGTCAGGTCTAATAAACAGTGAGTTCAGCTGAACAAGAAAATGGCCAACTAAGAACATACTGTGGAAAGAGTTTGCACAAACGCTGCTTCTCTTAAATTTTCCAAACTCTGCGAGATATACTGCTTCATAGACAAGTAGCTGCATATCAAATAAAAGTCTAAGATGGAGCTGTTTTGCAGTAAAATTCAAAGTGACAGAAACCACATGCTTAAAAATGAAAGGACACATCAACTAATGACACTAGCACATCTGCAAAGTCTAACATGCAGCTAAAACAAGCAGACAGAGCCAACAGACACTGTCTGCAAATTCCAAGATTAAGTTGGTAAACTTTATTCTAAAACATACATGTGACTAAAAAGACAAAAAATACTGTTGTGCAACAATTCCAACTCCTCTGGAATTACTAATGTGTTAGGCTTTTAAAGGCTCCTATGAAAAAGATATAACGCCACCACCACAGATGCAGAATCCATCTCCATCATCCTCTTCCTAAATAAAAATCTGCTCCCTGGAAAAAGGTTCAGTATAGTACCCCTAGTTAATCATCAATGACAGCAAAAAAGCCTTAATTTCTTTTCATTTTTCAATTGCTAAAAAAATATTTTCTTAACATACTTAATAATTACACTCACATAAATATTTCACTGCAGTATTTCATCTGCATCCTTAAAAAAAAAAGGGGGGGGGGCTGCTATTTTAAAGGAAAAAGTCCCTGGAAATACACTTATTAAAACAACCTGGTCTGTATAGCAATTGACGGCACACATCCCTTTTGCTGCGATGCAAGCTTAGGTAAACCAGAACGCGGTTCCAAAGTTGCAGTTCTTCACAGGCCTTCCCCACCTGTCTTTAGGTATTTGATAATTAAGTACTACTGAAACTACTGAAAGTACTAATAGACTCAAAGTATTCAGAAAAGAGCTTGATATGAACTTATTTTCTTGGTGGTGTTTTTGCCCATTTCAAAATAATTTAAAAGACCCTCAAAATGCCAACATCAAAATTTACAAGCATCGACATTACCCAGTTCTCCAAAGGACATCAGACTGACGTGGAACATCCTCTGTTTTTCAAGTCTCTTCCTCAAGTTTTGAGGGCAGGATAGAGAGAGCAGTGAAACTACCAGACCCTGTAGCATCATCCTTCCTCAATTTAAAATCGCTGTATAGCATTAATATACATTTTCTTATCTAAAACGTGTATGACCTTCATCTTCTGAAAAACAGCTGTATATTTGAAAGGAAGCCTATCCGCTCTTCAAATGATTATAGTACACGCAGTTCTAGTCCACTGCACACCTCTGTGCAAACAGAAATCGTAGCACAAACTGACGACACGAACCATCGCACTGTCAGATGACCCAAAAAAGAACAATGCGCACAAGAATTTATATTGCTGCTGCATAAACAGCCTGACACGTACTTCTGGCATTGTATAACACATCCATCGCTGTTTGTTTTGACAAAATATAGTTGCTTTGAGTCCCATAAGCTCCCTAATAAAGAACACTTGAATGTCTTTAGTTTCAGTTGACACTGCCAAAAGTCACGTCCTTTCTGGTTTTAATACTTACCTTCAGTAGTAGACAACTAGTGATTTCCTCAAGCAGTTCCAACTAAGAGAAACTATTTGCAACTTTATCATCTTAAATAAGTTTGAGCTGTCTCATAATTTCCTCATTGGCATTAGAGGAATGTATGGGAAGAATTAAAGGAGTAAGAAAAATCCAGTCACGTCCTTTCTGGTTTTAATACTTACCTTCAGTAGTAGACAATTAGTGATTTCCTCAAGCAGTTCCAACTAAGAGGAACTATTTGCAACTTTATCATCTTAAATAAGTTTGAGCTGTCTCAATTTCCTCATTGGCATTAGAGAAATGTATGGGAAGAATTAAAGGAGTACGAAAAATCCTGAGAAAATTTTCTACTTATCCCCAAAGCTGTATTGCTTCTCTGGAATTAGGGAGAATATTAAGAACATCAGAAGGAAGGTCTGCTCTGCTTCTGGCTGCTGTCAAAATAACAAATAGTCAACTCAAAGGACAGACAGGAATGGGACTAAACACATAAGAGACTTACAAGAATCGGTCAGAGGGTGATGAATATACCAGGTAGATAACTCCTGTTGACTAGAACATACTGACAAACACCCATACTCTGTACTAAACTGAAATGTTCACTGAAAAAGTCAATTTCTGAACCAACCAAATCATTCCAAATATGACACTCCTGCTGCCAGAAATAAAGACTCTCAATAAAAAGCTATATTAAGCAAGTAAGCTTGTTGTTGTTCAGTCATACATTTTCTCAGGGTTTTTTGGTCCACAAACTCCATGATTTTTTTTAAAGCAATAGCATTTCTTCTAACACCAACCTTCAGAACTGACCTTCAACTGTTAGTATTTAGAGGCGACAACATAAACATCTTTCCAAAAGTTGGATCAACTAGTGCCTAGCTGCCAAGCCTGGATGCTTCTGATGTCTGAGCTGACAGCCACTTGGTTACTTGTGAGATCTCGATCCAGGAACATCACAGCTTTCAGGGAACAGGCTCTCTTCATGATTATTACAAGCATAATTTACAGGTTCCACAGAGAGTACAGCAAAAATCCATAAAAGCTACATGTCAGGAAAGACAGTATTTAACTTAGGGAAAAATTAGAAAGAAAGAGAGGTAACCCCTGATTTAGAGGTGCTCTACAGACAACTGGAAGCTTCCTTGGAATTTGCTCAAGCAAAAAAAAATTTAGTCTGCAATAAAACACAACCCTGCTCTTAAGCGTGTAAGGAATCATGGATTACAGGCAACAATGTGACAAGACAGCTTATTTAAAGGATTAAAAGATTTTTTAAAAAGGAAACATTTTAAATTCAAAGAAAATATTATGAAATACTATTGAAGTTGTATCTTTTGACAATACAAGGACGAAGATGCAACTGTTCCGTCTTCAGGAACATCTCTGGCAGAAATATGTGAGTGGAATTAATTCGTTTAATCTCCAAGTAATATTTTGTTTCACTGTTAGCATTCTGTTCTGTAGCCTGAATATCAAACAACCCACTCAAAAATCTGAAGAGAGCATGAGCAGAACAACTGGGAAAAGTGCAGACCATCAGGGATGAGAAACCAATGGAATCTGATGTGTTTCCATCACGTTATTTACACTAAACATAAACCACGATTCTTACAAACCATGCATGCATGAAAATGACAAATATACACTCTTAAAACCTAAATATCTAAGCTTAACAGGGTATTTCATAGCCAACTCATTTCATACCGAAGGATTTTAGGTAACACACGGTGACATATATCCCCAGGATGTCTGGAAGTTCCTAGCAAGCAGATTTTTGTACCTATTAAGTCATACCAGTTTATTTTTTTTAAGCTAACAGTCATAATTATGAAATAGTTCAAGGGTTTTTAGAGTTAAAACTCAAAAGAATTTACATGTTTTAATCATTAAATCCAGCCTTCCAAGAAAACACAGTTACACACACTTTGACAACAACAATCCAGAAGAAACAGCTACCAATGCAAACTGT